GGGCAACGGTTTGTTCGAGGCCACTCGCGGATCCGCATTGATCTCGAACAGTACTCGCCCGAACTCGTTGGACGATGTGTTTTCGCATAAGTAGAATTGAGCTAATGCTCGATTTCTGCTCGTTGAGAAAAATGAATTGACAGAAATGAATTCGCCAATGGACCTTTTCAGCAGATTAACCTCGTCCAGTGACATCAACTGGCCACGATAGACACATATTACAGATTGGCATTGCTCATTTTTCAAAGCCCAATACATATCGTGAATGCACGGACGAAAGAGAAACAATAAATCGATATTCTGTACGCGCAAAGCTTTGTTCAAAACTCCGTGGAAAAAGGTCTGGCGTGTATACCACCAAAGAGCACGATTGGCCGAATAAGTGTCCTTAAATTCTTGAATATTTCGAAGTTGAGACTTGTTACCTTTGTAAAATTTCTTACAAAATGATACTAGTGGATTGATATCTGTTCGATTGGTTTCAATGCGAAGAAGAATATCAATGAGCAATTGTGAATGCACGAAATTGCCATTGAGCATTGTCGTCGATTGATCTGGAATGGCTGTGAGATGGAATATATCGATCGGAAGCGATTCTTCGACTAATGCTCGACCTTTCTGATCCGATTGAAGTTTAGAAATGAGTTTATTCATTCGGATATTGACACTTTTGATCTAGAAAAGAGCGAATGAGTTTAAGTATTGCATAATTCCGATAATTTACCTTTGGAAAACGAGATGCCCATCGTTTATTTCGCTCGGTCTCCTTGCATTGAATATAGATCGATGAGATTTGTCGGAGTTGATGGATTTTTGGAACCCATTTTCGAGCCAATCGACCACTAACGATAAGAATGACTCGGTCACCATTGGTCACATTGTTGATATGCTCTCGACACTCGTCTCCGTTGTCAAACGTCTTCAAATGGTTAATCAGAGTACGTAGTCGTCTCCGGATTCGTCGACTGTTCTTGCCACTATTTATTCTGGCACTTAGCCAGACAATACTAAACGTCTCGACGTGAATGCGACGAAGATTGTTTGGCAGCACCTTTTTACTCATCTATACCATGTATGCGCGATTTTTTGTATCCTGCATGCTAGTGATATGCAACAATGAAAGTAGAACGAACAAACGATTCTCTGGCGGTGCTCTACGTTCTTTTTGATGCCGTTTATGGCCTATTCTTTTGCTGTATGATATGAAGGAAGAGAAAAGCAGCGCGAATGACAGCTGAATCATTCGATCTTTGACTGCCAAGAATGAAAGAGAAAAGAAAGATAAACCTAGGCATGAATATTCAGACAGACAGAGATGTCAGAAAAAAAGGAATATGGACTCAAGACCGTGACTTTCAGTCGATCTTTTTAGTACTTTTTCCTTATTAGATCTAACGAGAGACGTGCCCCAAGTGGTAATCGCAGATCGAGCTGCTCAATACTTGTTCAGCATTAGATAGCTGTGGGGTCCTAGCATAATAATTGATTACATAGAGAATTCCAGAGCTTTCCAGCTTAACATTGTCCATAATGAAACCACACAAAAAAGGTGCGGCATCCTAGGTGTAGCGTCCTGAGTATTTGGTATAGAAGACTCATGGAAAATCATAGTAATATATGACTTACATAGGAAAAAATAGCTGCGGCGTCCTAAGCTCGAGCCGCAGCGTCTCAATGTAGTAAAGAACGCTACAGATGATTAGATCTAATAAGGAAAAAGTACTAAAAAGATCGACTGAAAGTCACGGTCTTGAGTCCATATTCCTTTTTTGTGTGGTTTCATTATGGACA